GGCTGAGAAGGCTTGACTTTGTCTTTGAGTATCCTGCGCCTATAATGCCAAATATGGTTTTCATTGGAGGCATAAACTGCAGGCAGAAGAAACCATTATCTCAGGTCAGTGACTGGCTGGGAAAGGTATAAAAAGGGAGAAGTTTTGGCAGTCATACACTTACATGATCTGAGTGGGGTTTAGTAGTGTATTTGATATGGATGTTTCTTACCTAAAGTGATAATTTAGATTAACACTTTCTGTATAGCTACATGAAAACCAGAATGTGATTCCATCTCCTTTTCTTGGATCTGACCAGTGTAAGCATTTTGTTCGGTGAGGGGATCACGTGCATGTTTAGTTCCAGATGAAGTTGGGTACAAAACACTGTATCACCCAGTAATTAATGCAAAAACGATAGGTGAATTATTACGGCTCTTCCAAAAATTCTTTGCCTCACATAAGAGACAGAAGAATATTTCTTGAAGAGCATTAGCTGCTTTTCCAATCAGAAAAACAACTTACTGGGTTATGCACAATAGCATCATGTGTTCTTATCTGTAACAGCAGTCTTATATTTGAGCTGAAGCCTAATATTTTGTGGCAAAGGTTTTGGTCTAACAACGGCTTCCATCACAAAAAACTAGACAGCTGAATTCTTGACTCCATTTTTAGATGTTGGATAGGGGAATGCTGATGGGTGTTTACTTGGGCATTTGTGGTCTAAAAAGTACTTGAGATAAAGCCATGCATGTGATGTATGTTAGCTTGCTGGTGCTCATGATGCATGTTGGCTTGTTGCTGCATGTAATGTGTATTCTTGCTTGCCTGTGCTCTAAGTAGAACCTCATATGAAGCCAGGAAAAGGAGATAGAAGAGGAGACAGCTCCCCTCAGCAGATAATGAATCTGTAGTTAGTGTCATCCAGCCGTTTCAGCAATAAATCACTTTGTTTCCAAGAAAGGAAAACGTTTTATCCATTGTGAATGTTACTTAAAAATAGATTCTTCTCCATTTTTCCTTTGAACTTTGTTCTCTAGCCAGCCTTAGGCTGAGTCTTAGGGAAGGGATTCCTCCTGCCCACCACCACTCTTACTCCTCCCCCAAATTCTAGGCTTTTGTGAACAAGAATGAGTGAAGTTTCACAAGAAAATAGATTTGCATTTTACAAGCCTGGCTCTTCCCCTGAGCCAACCTTAGCTGCCCTCAGGCTTTGCTTTACTCCTCCCGTTACTTCACCTGATGCTGCCCCTTGAAAGCACTACTTATTTCTGCTGAGCTGCTAGCATTCATATCTTGCTTTTTCACAAGGATCTCTTTCCAATTGCCATCAACCCCCACTTTTATCATGGTGGTGTTTTTTTCCTATATGTTTTGTCCATCAGAGCTGCTTAATGGCTTCTCAGGGACAAATCCAGGCACATCCTCTGGGAAAGCAGCATCCTGTCTGCCGGAGAGGCCACGTGGCAGCTCCTGGTTAAAATCACTTTCCTCAGAAGACAGAGCTAACTCTCACTCCAATCTTAACTAGAGGCTAAAGATCATAATCCAGCAGCGATATTTATTGCAGAAGTACTGATAATTGAGTTCTCATTTCTTGTTGTCTTCTGACTATGCCTCTGTAGCACACGGTTACATCTAACAGCAAAATATAATACTGCAAGTTGACAAGTTTATCACAAGTAATTGCTAACTGCTCAGATATGGTATCTTGCTTGTAGATTTTCATCTGAAGTCATAACATCACCTTTTACCATTTAAAATCTATTCCTGGCCTGAAACAAGAGGGCTGTTATTGGCTACTTCTGTCTAGCCTTTCCTGCATTCAATTAGGTACAAGATGGAACTCAGTGGCTTTTCCCTCTTAATGCTCCTGGAAGAAGAAAGTGATCAAAAAAGGTGCAGAGAGATAGGTCAGGATGAGAACAAACAGATGTTGTGCGTGACAGAACAGATTTGGTGGATTTCCTTCATCGATGCAAACCTCTATGCAGTGTTTCTTATTGTAATGGATTTGTACCTAGTGCTGAACCTGGCCCCAGCACTGAGCTCTATGTAAAATATAGAGTCTTCTCCTTAGGATTTGGACAGATACCACGCTGCATAGTGACATAAACTTGTAATTTTAAACATGAACTTGCCAAGTGTTTCAGAACAGCTGTAAAATGCTAATCACAAAGAAGGAAAGCAAGAAAGCATTTTATCTCCTTTTAGAAAGCCCAGTTACTTCCAAGTGCCAGCACTATTCAAAGACCTGGGATTTTGGTTTTGCAGTGTCTGATTTTATTTTCAATCTAACACCAATCAGCACAGGGAATCAATCAGAAAGGACTCATCCTAAGGGAGCCTCAGATACCAAGACCAGTTCTGCCCAACCTAGGTTGATTTATCAGGTTCCTTAAATGGTTCATCAATGCCTTGAATGATTACTGGTGACTGGTTTGGCTGGAAAAGCCATATCGTTAGTGGGGAATGTGAGAACCGGCAGGGATTTGTGGGTCTACTTAAAATCTCTTAGACCAGGGCAGATGAACAGACTTTGGAGTTCTAGGAACATGGCTCCTGTAAGTAAATACAGTTACTTAGCTTCTGTGGGGGTTTTGGCCTTCCTGTCTCTGTTGTGCTGGGCTGATGGTGGAAAGCTGTTGGTAGTACCAATGGATGGGAGTCACTGGCTCAGCATGCACTCAGTGCTGGTGGCCCTCAGCCAGAAAAAGCACGAAATTGTTGTTGCTGCACCAGAAGTAAACTTAAATGTGAAGGTATCTGAATATTATACTCTCAAAACGCATCCAGTGACTTTAACTAGGAAAGAACTGGGAACAATCACGCATTCGTTTTGCAAATGATCTTTTTGAGAGAAGACCTTTGCTTCAAAGAATCATTGCACTTTATGAAAAAGTTCAAGTCATCTCCAATCTTTACGTCTCCTCCTCCTGCAGCAGTTTACTGCATAGCAGGGATCTGATGCAACAGAATCATAGAATGGCCTAGACTGGAAGGGACCTTAGAGATCATTTAATCCAATCTCCCTGGTCCTGGGCAGGGACGCCACCACTCAAATAGATCAGGCAACACATGGGGACCAAACGGGAATTTGACCCACGACCTTGGTGTTATCAGCACCACACTCAAACCAACTGAACTTACTGGCCCCCAATATCTTCAAGAGAGCAAATCTGATGCTGTTCTCACAGACCCTGTTATACCATGTGGACAAATACTGGCTCTGCATCTGCCTATTCCACTCATTTTCTTTTTACGGGGACTCCCGTGCAGTTTTGATTTGCAGGCTACCCAGTGTCCAGATCCCCCTTCCTATGTCCCAAGAACATTTGCAGACAACTCGGACCACAAGATGTTTATCCAGCGCATGGAAAACTTACTTCTCAAGTCATCAGAATCTTTTCTTTGCGATTTTGCCTATTTGCCATTAGAACTTCTGGCCTCGGAAGTTCTCCACAGACCAGTGACAATGAAAGAGCTCTTAAGACATGGATCCATTTGGCTTAAAAGAATGGACCTTGGTTTTGAGTATCCCATGGCAGTGATGCCAAACATAGTTTTTATTGGAGGTATAAACCATGGGAAGAGAAAGCCATTATCTCAGGTCAGTGATTTCCTTGATAAAATATATTAACGTTTGAAGTGAGAACACTGTTTGCAAATGCTCTGTGTGTATGTAATTGTATACAGAAGTTTGTAGCATTCATATGTGCACTAAGGTATACTGTAAAGAAAACAGGTGAAAAACTGGGTTGATTTTAATTCTTTCCCACTCTTGCAGGCAGTCTTCTGTAGCATTAGCAGGGCCTAAGCATTTTTGCTCACACACTTGTTTTCCTTGGGCTAGATGGAAGTAGTTTATCACTCCACTCGATCATCTGCCAGTGAGGGTGATTCAGGTTTTAGCAGGCAGGTCTGCTGCTTTTGTTTGCCAGATCAGTATTGCTACCTGAAACTAATTGTTTTACTGTCACAATTGGGTTTTAAAAACAATTAATCTTTTTGGTTAATAGAACTATCTTTTCATAATTTAGCAATAAAGCGTCATAATGCGTCACTTGGCAGGTAATGTTCTGATTGTTCTGTCAGTCTAGGCTTATCTTTTCAGCACATGGATCCTTCACAGAATTTTCTGCAAAACTGCTGGAGGTTTTTGTAGCTGCTAGCCAGCACGGAGACATCTGCAACAGCTTATGCTGCCTTTTGAAAAGTTTCCCTTCAAAACACGTACCCGGATATTAGCAAATGTCCTTAAAAAAATTCTAGTGTGTACTATCAATCTCCACAGCAAATTACTGTGTGGTCAAAATTACTTCTGTGAAATAATTTTCATAATTAGGGCAGATTATCTGAAATCTTGTCTATGTGTTAGTGTTGTTTGCTTTCATGGCCTGGGAGCGTACTCTTCCAAGACTGATCCAGAATGGTATTTCTAGGTTGCTAATCCAGTTATAAATGTATCTGGCAAAAAACATGCCCTTGTCCTTCCTCCTTTCCAGCCCCTACTTCATCCTTCCAGAAAGAGGCCTTTCAGGGAAATGAACTTTGATAGCAAAGTTTCCATTTTCATTACAGTATTAAAGATATAAAACTGATAAAGAAACCAGAGCCATGTAAAACATTACTATTTTCCTAATCCTTTACAAACAGAAAATCTTTTGGACTGGCAGGAGGGGAGGAATTTTCTTATACTGAAAATTTGTGTTTGGAAAATTAACGACCTGTTAGTCAGCACTTTTGAGCACACCTCTGGAAATTCACAATTTCCATAAATCCCAGTATTCTCCCAATACAAAGAGGTGGGTGTTTCCCAGTTTAGCCGCTGCTCTGATTACTGTGTGCCAAATTGGTGGAACTTTAACATCTTTTATTTCACCTTTGCTGAACTCATGATTATACATTTACTACACAGCAAATAAGTATAAAGATCACCTGGCGAAAGCACAGCACAGATTGCTTAGAAACTTGAAGCTAGGGATATTCTTTCTGGGTGACACTCACCGGATTTCTGCAGGATGGCCGTGGTGCTCCGTGCTCATCCGCAACTCGTGGCAATGCTGGTTCTGCTCCTGTCCGTGCTCAGCTCGGCTGCGGGTGGGAAGCTGCTGGTGGTGCCGGTCGACGGGAGTCGTTGGCTCAGCATGCGGGAAGTGTTGGACGTTCTCAGTCAGAAGGGACATGAAATAGTTGTTGTTGCACCTGAAATAAACAAACATATAAAGCCATCAAAGAATTTTGTTATGAAAACGTACCCAATCCCTTTCACAAAGGAAGAGGTGGATGGAAGTTTCCATTCTTTTTCACAGGAAGTATTTGAAGAAGGATATTTTCTGGAAAGATTTCTTAAAGTATACCAGAGACTGAAAAGAATTTCTGACATGACTCTCTCTACCTGTGCACACTTACTGTCCAACAAACAGATTGTCCGATATCTTCAGAAGAGCAAGTTTGATGCTGTCTTTACAGACCCTGTACTACCCTGCGGGCAGATACTGGCAGAGCATCTTTCAGTCCCTTCCATTTTTTTTTTCCGGGTAATGCCGTGTGGTTTAGATTTTGAAGCCACTCAATGCCCCAATCCCCCTTCTTATGTCCCCAGGGTATTTACAGGCCTCACAGACCACATGAGCTTTCTTCAGCGAGTAAAGAACCTAATCCTTGACATCCCAAATTATTTTCTCTGTGACTCTGTCTTTCAACCATATGCAAAACTGGCTTCTGAGTTCCTCCAGCGAGATGTGACTGTACTGGATCTCTGGCGCAAGGCTTCCATTTGGCTCTTAAGGCTAGATTTTGTGTTAGATTATCCAAGACCTTTGATGCCTAACATGATTGTAATTGGAGGAGTGAACTGTGCTTACAACAAGCTACCTCAGGTGGGTCGTGCTCTGTTTTTACTTCTTGCTCTGACAGACATCTGTGTTCACATGAGGGGGATTTTGTGTTGCAGATGTGTCGAGTTCCTATTTAGGATGTGTTAGGCAAGTAATCGTGACAGAAATTATTTTTCTCTCACTTTCTTCCTCACTTTCCATTTTCTTTGTAAGCAGCTACAGCTTCCCATTTATAAGGTATGCTCTGCTAAAGAGAATCTCTATTCTAGGGAAGGCCTGTGATGGGATGCTGAATCCATCAGCTAAAGGGATTGTCAGAATTTGCGGATGGTAGGACAAAGTGTTGGATTTGTCTCACAAGCAGCTCCCATAGGATGGCTCAGAAAACCTTAAAAGCTCTTTCCAGGCTCAAACCCCCAGTCCTAACGAATGGAGCTACAGAGCAGGTCTGATTTGGCAAGTCCAGCATAGCATGATGTGCTCTAAGGGACTGGACTCAGACTTGGTGATTAGGCTGACCTCTCAAATGTGGCAGGAGCTTTGGGTGCCTCAGATGTAGAAGACAGCAATGTGCACAGGTCTTACTGTAGATCCTCCTCTGTTTTTCTGTGGGAGACCCTGGAGAGAAAGTATCCCTCAAAGGGTGCTCATATATCTCTGCTCTGCCCACTGAGCTCACAGAGCAAACTCCTCCACCCCCTGAGGCACATCTCAGATGCTGAAAGTGCCAATTAGGGTGCATGAGGTGCCCTGCAGAAAACCTGGCATCTTACTTCCACTTTTTCAGTCTTCTCACTCTGGAAACAATCTTGAACAGCTCTTCCACATGGCCCTGGGGCCGTAAGCCTCCGAGAAATGAGGCTTCAAGGAGGCAAGTGGATGGGGGGCGGGGGGCGGGTTTTGCCCAGGGGGAAGGGAGCAGCCTCTAAAAGGCTGAATGGTGATGTGGATGTCACACATCTCCTGCACTTGCAAACGCTTCAGCCAGAGGGAGGTTATCAGAACTGCTGTCCCACCCAGAACCACTCCCGCCTCCTTCCTAGAACACTCTTTACTGTTCCTCTATCAGAAACAGATGAGGGTTACCTGGTGTGTGGACTTGGCTGAACTTCACACTTGTCACGCAGCCTTGTATCAAATGGATGATTATACATTTACCACACAGTAAATAACTTAACGATCAGAAATTGAAGCTGAAGCACAGATTGCTTAAAGGCGTGGAGCTGGTGCTACTGCCTCAGTGCAGCCAGTGGTTTCCTTTCTGGGTGACACTCACCGGATTTCTGCAGGATGGCCGTGGTGCTCCGTGCTCATCCGCAACTCGCGGCAACGCTGGTTCTGCTCTTGTCCGTGCTCAGCTCGGCTGCGGGTGGGAAGCTGCTGGTGGTGCCGTTGGACGGGAGTCATTGGCTCAGCATGCGGGAAGTGTTGGACGTTCTCAGTCAGAGGGGACATGAAGTAGTCGTCGTTGCACCTGAGATCAGTTTACACATAAAACCAACAAAGAATTTTGTTATGAAAATGTACCCAGTCCCTTTTACACAGGAAGAGCTGAATAATGCTTTCTTGAGAACTAGCCAGGAAGTATTTGAAGGTGGATCTTTTCTGGAAAGATTTCTTAAAACGTATGATCGACTGAAAAATGCTTCTGCCATGTTCCTGTCTACCTGTGCACACTTACTGTCCAACAAAGAGCTTATCCAATACCTTCAGGAGAGCAAGTTTGATGCTGTCTTCACCGATCCAATACTACCCTGCGGGCAGATACTGGCGGACCATCTTTCAGTCCCTTCTGTGGTTTTTGTGCAGCAAATACCATGTGGTTTAGAATTTGAAGCCACTCAGTGTCCCAATCCCCCTTCTTATGTCCCCAGGTTATTCACAGACCTCACAGACCGCATGAACTTTCTCCAGCGGGTGAAGAATCTGATGTTTCACATCTCAAATTATTTTCTCTGTGATTTTGTCTTTGACCCATATGCAAAACTGGCTTCTGAGTTCCTCCACCAGGATTTGACTGTATCAGATCTCTTACGCAAAGCTTCTATTTGGCTCGTGAAACTCGACTTTGTTTTACACTTTCCAAGACCATTGATGCCCAACATGATTATGGTGGGAGGAGTAAACTGTGCTCACAGGAATTTAACTCAGGTGGGTCTTGCTCTGTGTTTTCTTACTCTTGCAGGCTTTTACATACTCTGAAAAGCTGTAGCCCAGGTTTTGTTAGAAAGATCTCTTTCTGTGGGTAAAAGGATTTCAAACTGCTTTTGCTTTGCAAAGAGGTGCCAGTACTCCTGTCAGGGAAGGCATCCAAACATAACAGCGTAAAAATGAAGAAAGTGTTGTAAATTCACTTAGCTCTGGGAAACTCCCCACAGATCATGTTCCTCTGCTCAAAGCCAGCTTTGACATTAAAGCAGGTTGCTTAGGGCCTCTACTCAGAACTTCTAATATGGTTCAAGTCAGACTTTCATTTAAGGAGACCGTCACTCATCCTGTGGTCCAACTTGTCATTGCTGCTTTCTCCTACATTCCTGTCTTTTTTTTTTCTCTAAAGAAGGATTCTCTGCTTTGAATTGTCATAGACTCATAAAACACTTGGGTTCGAAAGTCATTTGCAGGCATCTCAGCCAACCTCCTAGTCAAAGCAGATCGAATTAGTTCAGGTCATTCCATTCTATGTCTTGTTTTGAACATCTCCTACGACCCTTACAGAGAAAACATTTTATGATATCCAGTTTATTATTATTTCCAATTTGAATTTTCCATGTTGTATCCTGTGTCTGTTGCCTCTTGCCCTGTCACTGTCAATTTCTCAGCCTTGTCTTATTTATATTCTTCCATTAAGGTAGTTTAAAAAAGCAATAAGATCTCCTGTTAGCCTTCTTTTCTGAACCCTGAGCAAGCTCATCTTTCCCAGCCCCTTTTTATGCATCACTGTCCCCACCTCCTAACCATCTTCTTGGCATTTGCTGGACTTGCTCCAGCACAACGTAATGGAGATCCTCAGGCTGGGTACATGTCTTCAGACGTCTCCCAAGTGCTGAACAGAGAAGGATCACCCTCTCAATCTGCTGGCTGCACTCTTTATTTGTATAGCCCAGGAGGATGCTATTGCTTTTGTGCCTGCAAGGGCACCCTGCTGACTCCTTATTTAAAGTATCAACTGGCATCACAGAAGTAAAGTATAAGTTAGGTTATTCTACTCTCATAAAACAAAGGTTGGATTTATTTCAGATTTTTTAAAATGCGTATTCAGATATATTCTGTGGCTTGCAGAATAACATTGTACTTCTATATCTATGTCTATTAAGTAAGTTTTTCAGATATTGACTTTGCAAAACAGTGTAATAGGGCTTATTTTTCAGAAGAAGCCGAATCTCACGCAGTAAAAATGAAGCATTTTTAAGAGGATTCAAACTTGTCACTCACTCTAGAAAAGCAGAGATGGAATAAACCATGGAGCTAAACCTATGAAAAGAACTACGACAAGAGGATCTGTGACAGAGGTCTGCAAGATCCTGGAAAGAATAGCAAAGGTGAAAGGGGAGCTGACAGCCAGTTTCTCCCAATATTTGACCTATGACTAACAGTGAAATGAGGCAGCAGCAAGCCTAAAGCAAACAAAAGGGAGTACTTTTTCACACCACACACACACACAAAAAAAGCTGCCTCTCAACACCAGCAGATTGTTTTGTAGGCAAAACCAACGTTTTTGTATTTGGGGGGTTAATAACAGGCACATTCTGACTGCCAGGATTTGTAGACTTACAGAATCATGAATTCCCCTAAGTGCACATATTCACTGTACCGTTTCCAGCGTACAGCCTTGGCACTCAACTCTGCACTTTAGCTTTACTTTCTCCTGGGAGATATCTCTTTTCACCCTTACCTTTGAAATGGGCTTAACTTGTGGACTTCGGTCTCTGGACTCAAATGCACGTGAGAGGGTGTCTGCGGGTTACTCAAAATCCAGTGATACGACTTTTAAACTCTTACGAACATGCCCTTATCCTTAAGGGTTTGCTCTGGGGCTTTTTTACTTCTTCAATTTAATGTTGTTTTATAGCATTTTGTATTAGTATTACACAGATGCATGTGATTGGCTGAAATGTTAGCAGAACTTAACAACTCCATGGAAGTGACTATATATCAAATTCAAGATCTGAGAGCCCATTATATGTTAGCATAGGGTCACAGTACATCTGGGTTAACTACCTGAGTATGTGCTGCCACCTTAGGGCTTAGGTAGTTCTGAATCACCTTGTTATGTGAGACCTTTTCTGCTTTATTGCTGAAACACAGAAATGCACGCATAGGTACTGCAGTTAACTCTCTGGCACATCGGAATACCTTCTTCTTTTATTATCACCTCACAGTCAGCTAGAAAGAAAGTTCTACTTGAACAGGCTGCAGAAGGGGAGTGCACTGATGTCTGAAACTCCTTCCCCTTTAACGCGGTTTCCTTAAAGTTATAATCCTTGCTGGCTTATGAAAATCGTGGGGTTTAACCACATGGAGAACCTCCTAGCAAAACAGAATTAGCCTTGGAATGTGCGTATCACACCCTTTGGTAAAGGAAACCATTTCACAAACGAGGTTTCCTATGGCTCCTACCTGCTTCAAGAGAAATCTTCCAGGCTGCTGAACAGCATGAAGAAACCGTTCAGAGCTCTCTCCAGTCAGGAGTGCTTGGTTGAGGGGGTCTAAGCCAGTCTCTCTTCTCCAGCCAGCAATGTTCAGCTACCGTTCTTATATTACTTCGCTTTTGTAAACTTGCAAAGTCCTGGCATTCACCTTTTCCCTTTCCATGAAATATGCCTCAATGGCAGATGAGATCTGCTTGCTCAGGCACTTCTTTTAAGCACAAACTGCAGATATCTGTTTTTCTAGTTTATCTTGAAAGTCTTCATAACATTTGGCATGTTCTCCCTATCTAAGGACATTGCTTTGTTTGTAGGTGCTTATTCCATTTGCCCATTGGGTTCCTATTGTGTAATTTGCTGTGGCTTCAACTCAGGTTCTCAAGAATAACTAGGCACTTAAATCCCACTCAGATCAACCTGACTGGGATATCTAAACAAGTCCTTGGAGTCAGCCTGTCTTCCACATCAGATCAAGTTGTCCATGCTGTTATCATAGAATGGCCTAGGCTGGAAGGGACCTTAGAGATCATCTAGTCCAATCTCCCTGTTTTGGGCAGGGACACCACCTCTTGACTAGACCAGGCAACACATGGGGACCGAGCGGGAATCGAACCCGTGACCTCGGTGTTGTCATTGTTGTCAGCACCGCGCTCAAACCACTGAGCTAACTGGCCCCCTGTTATACAGGCAAACCTTCAAAATCTCAGAGGTAAAAAGCTTTTTCTAAATGTTTAGTCCAAATATCTCAAAGTGCCATTTTTGTTCCAGATAATACTGTTTACCCAGAAAAGTTTGGTTCTGACATCATTGTTACTCCCCACTGAGCAGCTGCAGGCTGCCAGTGTTATACAGAGCAGGACTTCCAACATAGTTTTTATTTGGTTTGGTGTATTTTTCCTTAAAAATCTTATCACAAGCAGAAGCAGCTCAGAAACTCTGTTCTCTGCTTCTTCTGGTAAGCAAAGGACACAAGTGTGGACTTCCCATTGGTTCACACCACAGCCAAGTCCTACCAACTTCTCTAGAAAAGTAGCTATTACTAAGAACTCTCAAGAATGTTTCACCTGTAGCCTCTCACCTATGAACTCTTATGGCCCTTTTTGAGCAAGGACTGCATATTCTGCTGCCTCACCGATTTAAAAAAACATTTGGCCTCAAGCCGCACACCTATGAACTCTTATAGCCCCTCTTGAGCAAGAGCTGCATATTCTGCTACATCATTGTTTGTATAAAAAGGTGGTTAATATGTTACCCATACTTTGGTGACATTACTGCTTGGTGTGCCTGCTCCTGCCTACCGTGTAGAATATTCTCTGTGAACTCCAAGCAACTTTCTGAGCAAAGGTGTAAGGGAGAAAGTTGGAAGCTTTGGTCATTCACGTCAATAGTGCAACATGGTGTTTGTATTGTCAACTCTGGAGCAGTTCAGTGGCCATAAAAGTTGATTCCTGGTTTGAGTCAAGTGCGCTGTGCCTCACTTGAAATGACCCTGACACAGAAAAATCCCTCTGCAAACAACTATTAATCTAAGACCCTGCTAATTGTTCTGACTCATTTAAGATAACTTAAATGCATGGAAATGCTTGTTGCTTTAGAACCCTTGATCACTGTTATCAATGCTTTTATCACCATTTAAAATGTTATCTTTGAACTCCAACAACTTGTCTCAGCAAACATTGTGGAGGTTAAAGACCACCAAGTTATAAATGAGGTACAACTATTCTTTGCTTTCATACACTGCTTGGAAGAAGTAAACAGGAACAGTTCATTTCTCTTCCTGCTGACAGCCCCATGACAGTTATGCAGAGGTACCAGATATACACTGCGCTTGTTCTTTTTCTTTCTTTCTGGAGTTGGGCAGAAGGTGGGAAGCTCTTGGTCGTGCCTCAGGATGGAAGTCACTGGCTGAGCATGCGTGTGGTTCTGGAGAAACTCTGGGAGAGGGGACATGAAATAGTTGCAGTGATTCCTGATGCCTCTTTGCTCATGAAAAGCTCACAATCTTTCACCATCAAAACATACTCTGTGCCTTACACACAGGAGTTTTTGGAGAGATTCTACCATTCCATCGGTGAAAAAATTTTTGATAACCCTTCCTTTCTAGAAAAAATTACAATTATAATCAGCAATATGTCAGAAGTGACTACTATGTTCTCTTCTTCTTGTCGGAATCTCTTATATGATGAAGAACTAATGAAATACATCCAGGACAGCAAATTTGATGCCGTTATGATGGATCCTGTGTTGCCCTGCGGACCAATTATTGCTGAATATCTCTCTCTCCCTTCAGTGTACTTCATGCGTGGTCTTCCATGTACCTTAGACTACGAAGCCGCGCAGTGTCCCAGTCCTTTTTCTTACGTGCCAAGGATTTTCATGTCCAGTTCGGATCACATGACATTTACAGAGCGTGTGAAGAACCACCTGGTTGGGATTTCAGGGAATTGGCTGTGTTATCTGTTTTACTTAAAATATGAAAACTTAGCTTCTGAGTTTCTTCACAAAGAAGTAACCATACTGGAACTATTTAGCAAAGCGTCAATTTGGCTGATGAGATATGACTTTGTTTTTGAGTATCCACGCCCAATAATGCCAAATATGGTCTATGTTGGAGGCATCAACTGTGAGCAGAAGGAGCCATTACCAAAGGTTTGACATTGTTTATGCTGAGGGTGTTACAGTGTTTATTATTGGTTATTTAAGATTTACATTTTAAAGTGCTTCCTATAGCAGTATCTGTGCTTGAGCCAATACATGATCGAATACCATGATGTCATGATGCCAAAGTAAGACTCTCAGACTCTGATAGATGAACACAAGCCTTGCATTGCAAGCAGCTGAAGGGTTTCTCTCTGGGAGACCTCAGATGAAGTTGTCTAAGTTATGTAGCTGCCTCAGTATAGCTTAGCTTGTTTTAAGCATAACACCATAATATTAGTCAATCGTGGCATGTATGCTCTATCTAGAAAAATGACAAAATACTTTAACATCCCTAACAATTTTGGAATACTAATTAATTGCAGGAGACTTGACTGGACGAAAAATGAAAAAGTGGAACTAAGTCCGTGCCGAAGTTGCACATTTTGGTCTAACTTTTGCCTGGCTTAGGCTGCAGAATCTTTTCTCTGTGCTTGTTAGAAATAACGTGTAATTCCTGTGTGAGCGGTAGCAGACATTTTCTCTTCATTCAGAGGCTTCAGCTGGTGAGAATCTGAGTGACTGAAAAATTTCATCAAAGTCTAACTGTCCTCACTCACAGCATGCCATAGAGACTGATAATGCAGATAATAGCCCCAAACCAGGGGGATGCAATCAAAGATAGTAGAGGGAGCTCTTTTGCCTCTGAGTTTGTGTACGAAGCAATGTAAGATAATATATAGCAGAATAACTGGACAAAGCAGCCTTCAGGATTGTAAGTATCTACCCTCCCTCACTAGCTTGTTGAAATCTCGCTAGTAGGCTGTGCAAACAGTGCAGATGTAGTCGCTTACCCTGTTTTCCAGACCACGGTGGTGTTGCAACAGCAGAAGTTATTGCTAAGCTTGCATCACGTCCCCTGCTGTAAACTCTGGGCTGTCACTGTGACAACTAGTACGATATAGAAACAAATCTGAAGATAAACCTTATCAATCCCCGTTATATCAAATCTCTGTCCATCACTGCTTCTTGTTTGCACTCCAGGAGCACATTGCAATCCAAAGGTCAGGCTTCTGTTCCAGGTTTTGCATCCAATCGCTGACCAGACTCAAGGCAGGGAGTTCATCATTAACTGGATGTTAGTAAGACAGCGATTGCTGGGTCGCCTGCTGCCTCCCATTCAAAACTCCGTTCAGCCTCTGGGTGACACATGGCCAATTGCTTGACACTTCTCCCTCAAGTAGTTGAATCCTCTAACGTTAATTCAAGCATTCACCTTTACCTTGCAGTGTCCAATTGGCTTAAAGCCTTCACCTTGTGCACAGATGATAAACCCAACCTTTACCCACAGTTAAAAATTACCCTCATTTCTGCCCACAAACATACAGTCCGTTAAAAATTAAATACTTGCCTTAGTGAAGATTAAAGTGCAAAGTCCCCCACAATTCCTTCTTCATCTCCTGCAACAGTTTTGCAGCTGTTTAAAACTTTGCTGACAGCACAAGGAAAATGGCTTCTTCAAATCCAGGTTTTAATTCTCTTGCCTTCTGGGTTGTGTTTTTCCTGCTCCTGTGGACTTTTTCTGAAGGTGGAAAGCTTTTGGTTGTGCCTATCGACGGTAGCCACTGGCTCAGCACGCGCCCGGTTGTGGAGCGGCTCAGAGAGAGGGGACATGAAATCGTGGTGGTTGCACCAGAGATAAATTTGCGGATAAATTCGTCAGTGCATTATACCATGAAAACATATTCTGTGCCTTACACCAAGGAGTATGTGGAGGCAGAATTTAAAAAGATGGGCCATAGGAGTTTTACACCTCAACCCTTCTTGGAAAAATTCTCAACAATAGCAAATATTACAACCATGTTCTTTGATTCCTGCAAACGTTTTCTATCTAACAAAGAACTGATTGGATACCTCGAAGAAAGCAAATTTGATGCTGTCTTGATGGATCCTTTTTTCCCATGTGGACAGATAGTAGCTGAACATCTCTCCCTACCTTCCGTCTACCTTGTACGGGGACTGCCATGCAGCCTAGACTTCCACGCCACCCTCTGTCCAAATCCTCCCTCTTACGTTCCTAGGTTCTTCACTCGCTACACGGACCGCATGGCGTTCCTCCAGCGCGTGGGCAATCTCATAGCTAGCCTGAGCAGTTCCCTGGCCTGCAGCTTTCTTCATTCACCGTATGATCATTTGATCAAAGAATTCCTCCAACAAGAGGCAACAGTGCTTGAGCTGTTGAGCCGTGCATCCATCTGGCTCATGAAATACGACTTTGTGTTTGAGTACCCCAGGCCCCTAATGCCTAATATGATCCTGGTTGGAGGCATAAGCTGCACTCCGGAAAAAGCATTATCACAGGTTAGTTTGGGTTTTCTTGCCCTCGTTTAGCTGCACTGTTTGCTCTCACCATGAGATGGAGCTCCTGACAGTAATAAATAATAGGCTGAAGAGGAAGGTGGAAGTGCTAGGAAAGCACTTTGTATCTACGCATCTCCTGTGCGTTGCACAGCACGTTATTTGTGGGAGACCTCCAGATTCCGACACAAACATAGGCTTTTTCCTCTTTCTTTTTTTTTTTCTATTCTCCACTATTTTCTGGCTATCTATTTCCAGTAATTTTGTTTTGCATACCTGTTTAACAAGACTTGGTGATAGGGTGATACGGCAGGCCAGATCATCCTAGGCCACTGCCCTTGGCAGAGGACTATTTCTGCAGGAATTTCAGATGGTGGCAGACCTGAATGAAATCCCCACCACCTAGTGAAGAAGCAAGAGATTTTCTTTTCTGTAAAAATACTCTGTCCCAGATCTGGACTGCAACTATTTTGCTTGAACCATGCTGAACTTTCTAAATATTTGCCATTTTCTACTAAAAAACTCTCCTAATTCTTAGTGCTGCCTGTTACTTTTCAGTGAGTGTCTGCTGCAGGTATTTTATAAAGGACATGCGTAGCACTCACCAATACAAGCAGCTGTTGGTTAAAAAGACATTATTAATAATAATTAATAAAAATAAATCACCTGTTCCCAAAGCAGGGCTGCAAAATGTTTCAAAATGGTAGTGGCATTTCTGAGCAGAAAGTCATACCTTGGCACACAAAAAAAATCTAACAAACAGAGTAAATTGATGTGACTAGTTCCTCAGAAAATAAAAAAGGCCTGCTGTATCTTTTCCACTGCACCAGGAACTGTCAGAGTTTTGTACCAAAAGCATATTTGTAGTTTGGGGAGGATTTTGCAGTTCCCAGGTATCTGTAAGTTTATATAGAATAGACCCGCGAGTTCCCAGCCAGACTTCTATGATGCCTTAACGGGGAACATGTCTTCAGAGAAATCTGGTAAGACAGAACAAGCCCTGAAGTGACAGTTACATTTCATCTCCTTTGCCCCCAGGAGAGCATCAGTTCAGGGTGCAGCTATCCCCGAACCTTTGACAGTTCCTTCTACTTGGGGTCTAGTCCAAGTAAAGGGCCGTGACACTCTGGTCAGCCACAAAAACACAATACAGAGCATAAACCAAGAGGATCAGTTTGGGTTATATCCTTAGACTCTAGAGCTAACATTTCAATTGACAGATTTACAGGAACATTTAATTCATTTTATTCCACTCATTTTACTCTGATGCCTGCAGCAATTCTCTCCAGTTTTGACTCTCCTTCCCTGGCTTTACCAAATATTTTACTATGGCACAGGATTTTTGCTCTAACCCTCGGCTATTTTTATGCTTCATTAGAATCCTTTTGTTCTTGGATATAAGTGACAGATCTCCTAGTCCTTCTTTTACATAAACCAACCAATCAAATTGGATTAAAGAAAATTGGCAGCAGTTCTATATTATCATACTCTGAGAAGACCCAACAAATCCAGATACTAGAAATCAGAGCTATCTACTGTCAGAACACTTCCCAAAATCTTAATTCTTTCTTGCAGCTACATGGTTTGAAAAGAAGAGCATCCACTCTAAAGCCAGAGCATCTGACTTGCAATAAATGTGAAAACAAACCACAATGTATTCACCTAGGGATTGATTGCCAGGAAAAGTATAATGATGAATCGATCTCCTTAATTGGTCCAACATCTTTTTTACTGCATGGAAACCGCTATCTTTGAGCAGGCAGGCTTTGCTACGTGACTGTTGTAAAGTAAATTTTTTCTCATGTCCATCCTGAATCTCCGTTCAGGCTTCAATTCTGCAAACACTCACGCACCTCCGTAAAAGTGCTCATCCATCTGTGCCTGTTTTTTAACCTGGGACTCATTTTCATATAGATAAATAATTTTCCTGGTGATAATATTCTTGTATGGACTGTTCATTTTATTGCCTTTCCAGATAGTTTTGTAGGAACATGACAGAAATTACAGTGTATTAGATGGAAGGGACTTTGACTAACGATAACGCTTTATGTTGGCAGGAATTTGAAGCTATTGTGAATGCCTCTGGAGAACATGGCATTGTTGTTTTCTCACTGGGCTCCATGGTCTCTGAGATTCCTATGAAGAAAGCCACAGAAATCGCAGAAGCCTTGGGAACAGTCCCTCAAACGGTACGGTTTCCCTCTTCCACTTCCAGCACAGCAAGACTGTTTTCAAATCGAGAATATGAATAACTTCAGATTTCAGTGTGCTTTGTGCTTCCTTCTTTTTCCTGCTTCCTGATGACAGAAGAAACTATCGCCCCAGCTGCTCCGCACGATGGAACGGGTTCTGTGCACCACAAAAGCTTTCAGCTGTTCTTCTCAAACCCACTGAGAAGCATCAAGAGGCCGGTTGCTGAGAACTGACATTGTGTTCACTTCTCTTGAAAGGTTTTGTGGCGATACACGGGACAGACACCTCCCAACCTGCCGAAGAACGTAAAGCTTGTCAAATGGCTGCCACAGAACGATCTTCTAGGTAGGTCTGAGATACCTTGGGTGGTACCAGTGTGTTTCTTTTCATCTGATACTGCTGTTGTAAGGCCCCATTAGCGTCACGGGTGCAGGCTCCCTGTATCACTGTGAGTCACGGGGCTTCCTTACAGCCTTTGGTGTTTGAACAAGAACTGGTCTTTTAGAAACTTATCCAATCACAACTTCAAAATTGCTGAATTATGAAATAACCCTCTTTGAAAAGATGTTCCAACACTTGACTACCCTTACTGTCAAAAAATTACTTCATCCTAAAATCTGAGAAGCTTTGGAACATTATCCAAAGCTTTCCAGAGACTACCCAAACCAAGACAGAGCTCTACAACCAGAGGTTCATTCAGTCACCTGTAATGTCCTGTTCTCAGCACTCCCAAGTCTGTCCGTAAGTAATTATGGTTACAACAGCCAAAAGTTGTTGATTTATACCTACCAGTGCCATTTTTGTGCAAGTTTTTCCTCAGGGATGTGTTACTATGACTTAATACATCAAATAGCTAAGCAAATATTTCTTTCCTCCACAGCTCACCCTAAGACTCGTGCCTTTATTACTCACGGAGGCTCACACGGTGTTTACGAGGGCATATGCAATGCCGTGCCAATGGTACTAATGCCTTTATTTGGAGACCAGATGGACAATGCCAAGCGAGTAGAGTCACGAGGAGCAGGACTGACGCTGAATATACTTGAAATGACTTCAAAAGACATATCCACTGCCCTGAAAGCAGTTATTAACGACAAAAAGTCAGTAACAGAAACAGCTTTTCTCCTTCTACTGCTGTGTAACACCAGCACGCTAGCTTCCAGCTTAACAGAATGTTCATCTGTTCTTATACACCTTCTTCTATCAAAGCTACATCACTGAGAATCTGATGCTTGGCCTGGGTTAACCTTGTCCTGCCCCTGTAACAGCACTGTCCTTCTCACTGGCTGGTATTTTCATTATTAGGTGGCAAGAATTGGCTGATGTGAGAGGATGCAAGTATCAGAGACAGGGTGTAAGTGCAAGGGAGCAAATCATGTAGACAAAAGATGTGTCACCTGCCCAAAGCCAGATTTACCAGATAGTGATTTCAAAGGCTTTGACACAACGTGGTAGAAAAGGCAATCAGTGAAGGGAGAACTGTTTTTCTCTCCCAAGTCAGTGAGGGGAGAAAATGAGGAACCTGGAAGGGTTGAAAGACTCAGCTGCCTGGCTGGCTGATTTTCGTTGCATGAGGCTTGCCCAGAGATGCTGTCTGCACAGCAGCAGGAGTAAGGAGACACATGGCAGTGCCTCGGTATAGTCCAGAGGCTGTACTGTGTCAGGAAACCCTCCCAGCTGGCAGGGTTTACTAAACACAACTATTATCACCCATTTATTTTATAGAATAGTTTTCTCAGTCATTTTTCCCCTCCACTAGTGCTCATAAGAAGCCGTATAAGCACAGTCAGCTTCTCAGTCCTTGGCATCCGCTTCCCCATCACATTTCTGAGAAACGTCCTCTTATTGCCATTGTTTCCTGTTCTTATAGCAATAATAATAACAATAATAATTATAAAAATATTAATGCATCTTGATCTTGAAAAGCTGAAAGGCTTTTCTACACCCAGTCTCACATTTCAGCCAGATATTTTCATCCCAGAGATTCTGCTGACAGCTCAAACTAGGCTTTTTCTTTTCTAATACCTTTCTCTCTTACTTTTTTTTTGGTCATTGCTAAACCAGCACTTTTCTGGGCCCAAAACTTTGCCATTATCCTTCTCATGGGGTGGTGGTGGGGGGAAATGCCACCAGAAAAGCCCCCAGAGGGCCATGAGACAGCCGACACTGCATCCCTTTTTTCTGGGGGCTCAGTCTCAACAGTGCAAGCCTTTGAAAACACCCAACATCTTTTCTTAACAGGTACAAAGAGAACATCAAGCGTCTCTCAGACCTTCACCTTGACAGACCCATCCACCCCCTGGACCTGGCTGTGTACTGGGTGGAGTTTGTAATGAGGCACAAAGGGGCCCCACACCTGCGACCTGCTGCTCATGACCTGAACTGGTTCCAGTACCACTCCCTGGACGTTATCGCCTTCCTCCTCGCCGTGGTGCTCCTCTCCCTCTTCATTTCTGTGAAGTGTTGCATGTGCTGCTGCCGCAGGTGCTGCTGTAAGAAGGGAAGAACGAGAAAGCCAACCAAATCAAAATCCCACTAGTAGATGAAACCAGTGGAAGGAGATAAGGCTTCAGACCAGAAGGATCAGAGAACATCTCAAATTTCACTAAAATAATCTCTGACTTTCAGTCAAGAAATAATACAGCATTCTTTTAAACTAGCACCATGGGGAGAGGGGTTGTTTCACTGATACAGTTTTTGTCTTTAATTAAGAATCATTGTTAAAAATAATTTGTATAGGAGTGATTCAGTCACTTAGGAAGATGTCAGTGTGAAGTCCAAGGCTCCAAGCTTCCCTGCCTTGGTGTACAGAGGGCTCATGGTGCATTTTTTTTTAAACACCTATACACAATGAAGATGTATAGGGATTTCTTAAAACTTTTCTGCAAGGTCTTTAAGAGAACCATTTGCTCTAGTATAAGACTGCCAGGTTTATCAAGCACTATGAAATCTTTGTATAGCTGTTGTTACAGAAGTGGCAAATGTTATACACTGACAATACGCATCACATAAGCTAGGTTTATAAAACTCAACTGATTTACTCTTTGTAAGTGATGTTTGGATAAAGACCTAAACCCCAGCCCTATAAATAAATCCCCAACACTAACAATAACAGCTCTTATATTTTCTGACTCGAGGGATATGGGGCCGGATGCCTGTTCAATCACGGTGAGAGAAAGGGAGAGGGAAAAGAGTTGGTGTCCCACGGTGTGAAAGCCACCTCAACGCACAAAAGCCAGTTCTGAGCACATACTTTAGTGAAAGCTGTTAAGTTCAATTAAGACAGTCTCTTTCCTCCGTAGTCTGTCCCCATGGCAATGTCCAACTCTTGTGAGCATCCACACCACCTGCAATCTGTCCAGGACAGATATAGACTGATGCCTTTCACCTTCTGCCTTTCCCTCCCCTCCTCCTGCCCCCAATAAACCGAAGAAAACTCTTCTTTGGGACATGTGGAGATTCCCCCCCAGTGTGTAAAAGTCGACCTGCTTTTAAAATGCAGCATTTGTGGCTCCTCGTGTTCCTGAAGTGACAGGTCTGGGTGTCCTCATGGTCCTGGCTGAAGCCAGGTGACAGCAGCATATCTGTGCCCCTGGAAATGAGACCAGCTAGACCTCGCAGCGCCCATCACACCACCAGTGGATTTAGTCATCTCTGAGCATAAGGCTCACAGTAGCTCCAGCAGCTGTCTAATGCAAAAAAACAAAACAAAAAAACAACCCACTTTAAAATGTCCTTATGGAGAAGTTCTCCAAGTAACTTGCTGCAAACAGGCTCTGGATTGATCTATGGTCTGTCTCTGCACAGACAAGAGAAATCCCCCTTGATTTCAAATCACATGAATAGAATGTATAAAAAAAATAATCCCAATTGCAGCTCTTTTAAGTTTTTTGGTTTTTTTTTCCCCTCCCAGTTCAAAAACCTCTTGTGTAGGCGAAGAAAATGAGCTGAGAGAAAGGGAGGAAGAATCAAAATGCCCATGCCACAGTTTTCATTTAGTTTTGTAAATATCTTTACCACAGCCAAACAAAACAGCCGCAGAAAACAGGTATCCTCCTCCTCTCCTTTTCATTTCACTCTCCTTAACTTTGACTAGTTCAACCTGCTCTTTACTTTCCCCCACAGAAATGAGAAGGGCCCTACAGGATGTGAGGGGCCAGGCCAGGACAACCCTCACGTCGTGTCCAGTTTCAGCTGTGCCAGCAGAGGACACTCTGATATCACTGACAGAGTGATACAAGGGAAACGCCATCCCTTCCCCACCCAGCCAGCCCAGGAGGGTCGGTGGAAGTCCAGAGCGACTAGTTTATCCACCCATGCTCCAGAAATACAGACCCTGCTACACAGAGGTGACTTTCAGAGGGAATTAGGAGCCAAAGTGGATGGCACAAGCAGCTTTGGTGCAGAGGAGGGAGAAGAGCAGCATCACTGCAACATGGCCCTCGCAAACCTTCTCAAGGGAAGAGTTTAATCTGGGGATGCTGCTTCTATTACTTGCCCCTTAATTGGGTGCCAAATACAGCCGTGCTGTCCCCTTAAGCAAGGCAGAGAGTCCCAAGCCCCTGCTCCTCTTATTGGAAGAAGGAGAAATCATCAGCCACGATGCATTTCTAAGCAGAGCTGAGACTGGGTCACCTCCCAAAAGGAAAAACCGAGGCAGAGCCGGCCGTCACTCCTCTCTCTAAGTCACACAGGCTTCCCAGGCACTGCAGCCCAAGCTTTTCCAGCAAACCCTCCAAATCTTTGCTTTTAAACAGCTGCCATAAGACAGAAGCCAAACCCCCTTCACTGCCCACGGGAAGGGACGGGCACAAACACACCTCACCTCCAGCAGCCTCTCCTCGTGGCTGTGAGCACTCACGTAGCGCCTCTTTGGAGCTGTGAAAGGAGAGGAGAGCTGTTGCTCTGCGCTCCCACCCAAAGAGCTTTGCAGCGCTTATTTTATTTTTCACCTGGATTTTAACATCCAGGCTTACAACAGTAAGAGTGAGGGTAAAAAACAACCCCACAGTGCGAGATGGTGCTGTTCTTGGCTACTCTGGTAACTCTCAGAGCCCCCTGACTGCAAAATGTAGGCAAGATCCACTTTGGCTTTGGGATGGGAAGGGCATCCCAGGGGACACAGCGGCCCTGGCTCTGGTGGGAGGATGCAGTCGGCATCTCCCGCTGCTTCCCACCAGCTGGACTGTGGGAAATGACAGGAATTGCTGACATTTTTCTGCAGCCACAGGGTTTTTGCAGCCTCACTTCAGCCCTCCTATCCCCAAGGGCAATGATGAGGTTTTTCCACTGCCACAGGAGCTCCAGGCAGCTCTCAGGTTCCTCTGCTTCACCCTGCACACACTCCCTTGGGTGCTCACACCCTCAGACTTGCAATTACTTAACTTGATTTTTTTAAAGTGGGTGGTTTTGTGAAAAGTAAATGCTGCTGCCAGCAGCTAGCCATGACATCAGTTTGGGGGGTTTCACAGGAGCTCCCAAATCCTTTTTCAGCCTTGTTTCCTGCTGTAGGAAAGCACTGAAAGCTCAAGATAAACAAATGTGGTATGCAGGCTCACTTCCTTGAGGAGCAGGGATGAGGGGCACTGACCTGCCAGGAAGAGCATCAGCCTCATTTTATTTTACAAAAAAAACCCAGAAGACAAAGGTCAACAAATCAAAAGAACAAACAAAAAAACCACCACCCCAAACCCACATACACCTGCAAACAAGGCTTCTTCAGGATTGCAGGTGTGGTAACTATGATGGTGCAGAGCTCTGCTGTCCCTGAAAGCCTGGGGAGCACACCAGGCAGTCCCCCACAGTACCCACGAGAAGCTGTTGAGGCTGCCCCACAACATGCTTTGGGCCCTGCATCATTCTCCAGAGCTATCCCCGCAGCATCCTACTGGGAGAGCCTGCTGTTTGGCACTAGAGATGCCCCATCCTGTGACACGCCACCGGACAGTGAGCTCCAGTCCCCAGCACTGCCTGGAGGGTGACAGTAGCAAGCCAGGTACTTTAAGCTGGAGCAGCCACACATCTCTGTGATTAATTATCACCTGCAGAGGTGTTTTTAGGAGTTATTTATAGGTGAGTATGATGAAACCTGGGAAAAAGCAGTTGCCACAGTGAACCAGGCACAAACTGCAGGACAGTCTCTCCCTCCCTGGAGAGGGAAGTGTCCTGTTGAAGTCAGAGATGGAGCAAACTGCTCTGGCTTTAGCATTTAAACTCAGTGAGCCCACATGGCAGCTGGGCTTGGTCCATAATCCCGCTGCTGCCAGTGCTGCAGGCTACGGGGATTGAACCAAGCTTACAAAGGAAAGAGAAGGTGAAATCTCCATCCACAAACATTTCCTTGTTGAGGATGTCGGTATTTCCAAGTGAGACAATGCTATCTCTGATCGCATCCTTCCCAGAGCAAACCCCTGCCCTGCCTGCGGTGGCTGTCATGGCTCACACTAACCATCATGAAAAAGCTGCTGTCACGTGATTCTGCTTTGACAAGTACAAGCACATGCCCCCAGAATCAATTCCCTTTCTATTAAGGATTGGTGAAAAATTTCATATGCTGGATTTGATTGCTCAGGATGATAAAAGTCAGTCATCAGCACAGGCAGCTCAGTAAATCCCAAATCTGTCCCCTCTATCCACCCACATACAGCTGGCTTATCTAACTGCATGATCTGTCTTGAAAAGCCAGCTTGAATGGAGCAGGCATCCTCCCTGAAATGCTACCAGCCTGGATTATCCCGAGGGGGGGAGACATGGTCCCTGCCTTCGCTGAGGCAGATCCAAGCACGTTGCATCTGTTACCAAGCATTGCTCTCTCCCAGCAAGGGACCAGACCGCATCCCAGTGACTCACTTTGCGCCCAACAAGACTTTGCAAAGCGTCTGCTGGAAGCTTTAATTAATTCAGTGGGGGGTAATCAAAGCACAGCAGAAACCCAAGGTTCTTCGTTATCTTTATGGAGGCTGCTGAAGAAATGGTGAGTTTTGGCAACAAAGAGTCAGTCTGAACTCCTTGGAGGGGTGGTTCTGAGGTGATTTTGGCATACCACAAGGGATGCTGTGGGAGGGATTTGGTGATGGGCAGGAAAAGGAAGGGGAAACCACAACCAGCCACACTCCTGACACCAAGTGTAGCTGTTAAATAGTAACAAAAATAACATGTTCACCTTCCCAGCCAGAGTCTCCCTCCTTTTCATGTAGGACATCAGGGTTCCTCCATCCAAAATCAAGCAATCAGTTACACCATGAAGAACTGACTGCCCAGTGAGTGAAGGCTGTTCCTCTTTTGGCTAGGCTTCACCGCACACAGCTTATAGGAAAAACACGCCTTAATATTCTAAGTTTTTTTCACCCATTGTAATAAAAGAGTCCAACTGTGATATTTGTTGCTTCAAAGTCCCTGAATTTCACTGATGGATTAAGCCTGCTGAGTTGTGAAGAGGCAAGCCCCAGGGGATGCTTCATGTAAAGCCTGTTACCCAAAAGTAAAAAAAAATAAAAGCACTTTCGACCAGAGGCTTGAGTGGGTCACGCCATGAACGTGCAATGGGAATTGCATTTTCAGGGATGATATCCATCTACGCTAATTTATAGTCACCCAAGCCTGTATTTTATGAGGGATCAGGTCTGATCCACCCAGGGAGGTGGTGGAGGGCCCATTCCTGGAGACATTCAAGGTCAGGCTTCATGGGGCTCTGAGCAACCTGATCTAGTTCAAGATGTCCCTGCTCCCTGCAGCGGGGCTGGACCAGGTGACCTTTAAAGGTCTCTTCCAGCCCAACACATTCTATGACTCTACGATTAAGTTGGCTTGGGTAATTAAGGTGAAAAAGTTATAAAGTGTCCCACA